GGGGGGGGGGGGGGATTTGCCGTGTCAAGGATAACTGAGAATCTTCACCAGCATTGTTACAGGTAAAAACAATTACTTCACTTATCTACACTATTGACGTAAAAAAAACACTGTAAGCACTTCACTTTTGATGATCAGATGGAAGCTCAAGACTTGAAAATGTTTCTTTTATTAGAAATAAAGACCTGTACAAAAAAAATTATAATTATACACTAATTATATATGCAAACTTAACAAGCTACATGTTTGGCTATTTGTGGGCTTACCTTGCAGGATCTACATTTCTATATATCAACTATGATCTACTCTAAATATTTTTAAACATGTCTGTTTGCCATGGAACGGGCAATGGATTCCAGCACCCCAAAGAGTGCCTGATTGAAAGCAGCACTCTGTTCAGCCTCCTGCCTTCGCTGTGCTGCTTCCTCTCTGCGAAGATCTGCTTCCTCTCTCCTCAAGGCCATCTCCTCCCTCCTAATTGATTTCTCCTGCTTCCTCGCTGCTGCAGCTTGGCGTTGCCTCTCCGCAGCTTCTTCTTGCCTTGCCTTTTTGGCATCCTCCCAAATAAAATGGAAGTGTTCCTCTCTCTGCTTCCGGTTCATCTCCTATTGTTCTGAATGCGCAGAAACAAAGCTCTCTGCTGCACTTGTTGATTTGCGCTTTCTATTGCCTAGGAATAACACACAAGAAAATGGCTGTTAGATGATGAAGTACAGGTAGAGTTTTTAAATAAATTATTTACATTAAAGTTCCTGCTAATTTGAAAAGGTGTTTGTTCACAAGATCAGAAATGATTCTGTTCATAAAGCAGTCTAGTACTTTAATGATAGTAAGCAGGAGGGCATAAATAAACTACATGTAGTCATTTACAACGGTTGTGCTAATTTAGAAAAAGAACAGAGCATCGTTAATCTGAACAAAAATCACTACACCCTGTATAATTTCAATAATAAACTTCATAAATGAAAGTTTAAGTAATAAATTAAATTTAACATTTATACATTACAACTGAATAAACAAGTAGTTTGAATACATGCAAGGTGTTTTACAACGAAAACAAAACAACATTCATATAGACATGATCAATGTGATGTTAAACACGATTGTTGCTTCTTCTTACCTAGTAACGGGTGCTGTTTGGTGCCGCTCTGCTGCGTGTTGCCCGGTGGCGTGGATGTGCCCGGTGACGTAGATGTACTCGGTGGCGTAGATGTACTCGGTCGCGTAGATGTACTTGGAGCTGGTGTGGTCGGGGAAGGGTCAGAAGCGGGGAGGATTGGACAGTCAAAAGCAGAATCTGGTGAACCTTCATCTTCAGTGGGACTTTCAGCATCAAAATAAGAGTGGAAAAACAGCAACAGAGTACAGTTAGCAATTATGCTAACTAATGACGACTTAACCTTGTCAGCCTCGTTTGTTCAGAGTACTTTCAGAAAACGCAAAGAAACAGTTACGTGAGGAAAAGGAAATATGCTTAAAGTAAATAAAATACACTCACCATCAGCTATAGCTTCCAGAAGAGCAGTGGCCGTGTCTAGGCCACTCTCCCTCCCTTTGTTGGCTGGGCGTTTGCCGTAAATGGCATCCATTTGTACAAACCACTTCCAGTTTCTTCTGTTTGCTCCACTCCTACCATTGTGGTCCTTAATCGTTTTGTAATCGCTTTTTAGTTTTTTAAGCTTTCCTCTAATTTGCTTTGGTGTGCGATGGAAGCCCTGCACTGCCATCTGCGCAGACACCTCTTGAAAAATCTTTTCATTTAGTTTCGTTCCATCTAGCTCGTTCTGCACTTGTTCGTCGGCCAGCAAACAGAGAAATGCCTGAACTTCAGCATTCGACCACGGTTGTGCCATGATTATTTGTTTTACCTTATAAAATATTCCAAAATATGCTCCTCCGATTTCTTGTTGTCTGTTATGGCAGGTGAAAAAGAAAATGGCGGATGGGGTTTTCCGGTGGAAGACTGAATCTCCGCCCTCCACCAATGAATATGCCCTCTGACCAATCAGTGACATACAGTGCGCTGATGTCACATCTAAACCCAACAAGAACCAGACCTGGGACCTCAGAGAATTAGGTCCCAAAAATGGGGTGGGTTCCACCGCTAAAGGCATTGTGGATAAAACACGCAATCGGCCCGAACTAGTTACATAGGAGTACCAAAAGGCCCTGTGGATAAGGGGCTCACGAGTCATTATCCTGGTTCTCAATGAACTCCTCTCATATCTGAGTTTTTGCCTCAGCAACAGCCAAGGTTGTGGACCACTTGGCTCTCCAGTACTCCACAGCTGCCACTGGAATCCCACCAGCTGACAAGGACTGATAGGACTCCTTCTTCAGCTTGACTGCTTCCTAATCAGGGTTGTCCACCACCGAGTTAAAGGGAGGCCACCGTGAGAAGCGCAGACAACCTTGCGGCCACAGCTCAAAGCAGCAACTTCAACAATTGAGATGTGGAACATGGCCCACTTGGACTCAATGCTCCCTGCCTCAGCTGGGATGTGGTTCAAGCTCTCCCGGAGGTGTGAGTTGAAGATCTTTCTGATGCTTCTGCCAGGCATTCCCAGCAAACCTTCATTACACGTTTTGGTCAACCGGGTCTGTCCGGCGTCTTTCCCCGCCATCTGATACAACTCACTACCAGGTGGGGATCAGTTGACAGCTCAGCTCCTCTCTTCACCAGAGTGTCCACATCAAATCAGATGACATGACTACAAAGTCAATCATCGGTACACGATCTAGGGCGTCCTGGTGCCAAGTGCATTTATGGACACCGTTGTGTTTGAACATGGTGTTTGTCATGCACAAACATCGTTCGTGTTCAGATCAGAGGCCGTTCCTCCTAATTATGCCCCTCCAAGTCACACTGTCATTACCCGCATGGGCATTGAAGCCCCCCCCCCCCCCCAGCAAAATAAAGGTGTCCTCAGCTGGTGCACCTTCCAGCACCCCCACCAAGATCTCCAAGAAGGCTGGATATTCTGAACTGCCATTTGTCACATAGGCACGAACAACAGCCCATTCCGCCACCTGAAGGTGCAGGGAAGCCACTTAATCATCTACCAGGGAAAACTTCAACACACAGGCACCAAGTCGAGGAGCTAAGAGTATACCCACACCAGCTCGGCACCTCTCACCATGGGTAACTCCAGAGGAATAAGGTCCAGCCCTTCTCAAAGAGATTGGTTCCAGAGACCATGCTATGCATCGAATTGAGCCCAACTACATCTAGGTGGTACTTCTCAACCTAATGCACAAGCTCAGGCTCCTTCCCCACCAGAAAGGTTACATTCCATGCCCTAAGAACTAGCTTTGGTAAGCCACGGGCAGAGCGCCAAGATTCTCACCTTCAGCCACTGCCCATGGAATCATGCACCTGACTTTTATGGCCCCTCCTGCTGGTGGTGGACCCACAGGAAGTCAAACCCATGTTGCTCATTTGGGCTTATCCCAAGTGGGCTCCATGGGTAGAGACTTGGTCACCAGGCACCACAGAACCTGTAAACTTATATTTCCTAGAGTTTGTCTCCATTCATCAGTTTTGCCGATTCAGTCACATAAGAATGTTGAATATTGGAGCATTAAATATAGCGAGAATATCTTTGTGAAACACAGTTTTCAGACGTACTGACGGGAGCCTGAACTAATATGAGCCTACACCACCACCGCTGTCTTGTCCTTCGCAGTGTGTGGTTGGTTTGGGCCTGAGTTATCCACGGCCTCAGCACAGACCAACAAAGATGGAGCTTGACAAACAAATTTATTCGGCTTTTCATTCCTTGCACACATCTTCAGGCTCTGAAAACAAATCTCCGACGTCTACCTGTTAGGATTTATTTTCCAAAAAGAAGAGGTAGGACATCTGAGTGATGGATGAGCTCTGGGTGGACAAGGGTCACGGGGCTGAGGATAAAATGATGGCCGTCATTTTATGGTGCGTGCATTTGCTCCTCCTTTTCACATGAATTTGTTTTTGGTGGAAGCCTGGAAATGCTGATATTTTTAAAATGGTCAAACTTAATGGATAATATTTTATTTTATTAGTTGATGTCAGATGTGTTAGATTCACACTATAGGACCTAAAATGAGGAAACACACAAATCTTACATGAATACATTTTCTTTTAACCTAAGCTATGTTTTTCCATTTAAAATGTAATTTCAACCGTGCTAAAAACATCTAGTTAAAGTGTGAACCAACAGCAGTAAAGAGGGTGACATCAAGATGACTAAATCCAAAAAATCCGAATGTAGAAGTAGGGTGAGCTGCTGCTTTTTTTGGGAAATAAAACTCTGCTGCATTATACCAACATTCAAAGTTTATTACAAAATATTTTAACAACTTTATGATTTGATGAGCAGAATATCTTGCATCAAATTCTGCACATAAAAGCTTCTATTAATCCTCTAATCTGCAAGCTGTGAAACAAAACTAAAGAAAATATTTCCAGTCAATCCTCTTGTCAAGCTGACAAGGCTCAAATTAAACCTGAGAAGTTAAGCTCGTCAGTGTCAGATGATACAGTGACCTCTGACCCCCACTGTAAGAAACTGAAAACTAACTGAAAGGAACAAGAACCACCGTCAACTCATCGCCAAAAAGTCATGGAGTGATGGAAGTCCAGTTTCATTCCTGGAAAACAAAAAAAAATCTGATTGGTTCAAATGCCTGGAAGAGACCAACAGTCAGTCAAGAGGAACAAAAAACTAAATGGTGAGAATGTAAATGGTAAATGGACTGTACTTATATAGTGTATTTCTATCTGATCAAGACACTCAAAGCGCGTTACAACACAATCCAGAGCCAATAGCCAATACAATAGCCAATACTCTTTACATTTATGAGGCGGCTGTGGCTGAGTGGTTAAAGCAGTGGTCCTCCATTTGCAAGAGTTGGGGGTTTAATTCCACCAGCAGTCACATGCCCAAATGTCCTTGGACAAGACACTGAACCCCTCATTGCCTCTGATGTGTGTCCCATCGGTGTATGAATGTGATAAAGCACTGATTATTCTTTATATAGATATACTGTAGTAGAGTGCTGTATGAATGGGCAAACAAGGTCACAGATGGTAGTGAAAACTGCTTTGAGTGTCTTGGTAAGATGTAAATGCGCTGTACAGTCTGTTTACCATTTATATATGCTTCCATTAGGTCAAGTAATTAAACAGCACGGGATAAAATTTCATTGTTATGCTGATGATACGAATACATTTTGCAGTCTTTCACTTGCTCTGGATGTCAATAATTTGGCCTCCAGTTCTAAAGTAAAAAATCTTGGTGTTATTTTTGATCGGGACTTGTCTTTTAACCCCCACATTATAAACGTTACCAGGACCACTTTCCTCCACCTGCATAATATCACTAAGATTAGAAACAGCTTGTCCAAAAATCATGGAGAAAAACTGGTTCATGCATTTATCATGTCTAGGCTGGACTATTGCAATGATTTATTGTCTGGTTGTCCAAAAACTTCTTTAAAAAGTCTTCAATTGATCCAAAATGCTGCTGCCCGAGTCTTAACTGGAGTTAGTAGGAGAGATCATATCTTTCCAGTTTTAGCTTCTCTATTGACTCCCTGTCACATTCAGAATAGAATTCAAAATCTTTCTTCTAACATACAAAACTCTCGACAATTTACCTCCATCTTATATTACAGATCTTAAGGTTCTGTTTTTTCCTAACAGCGCACTTTGCTCTCAGACTACTGGTTCCTGCTTTTTGGATTCGGCTGGTTGCTGGTTTTATCAATCAATCAAGGAAGTCGTCGGCAGCAAATTTGGACCCGATTATGCAGCTTGCCTTTATGATGGCTTGGTTCGTGTCTTGAGTACCCGGACTCAAATGCTTTGGGCAGAATGGATCAGATCTTGGAGTTTTTACTCAGTCACGTTCCATTGGTGTGGCCTTGTATTTTGGACATTTCGGAACCGAGTGGACCAACACAGACTCAAGGTAGATGTTATTAAGTTCTGCCTGTCCCCATAACAACTGTGCGTTTATCTGAATTTGGCTCCCTTGGCTGGCCTTGAAGGTCATCTTATCTGAATTTGCCTGGAGAAAATGTGATCTGACGCTCACCACCCCCTCCCTGAGGAATTTCCAACTGATAACCAGATGAAACCAGCTGAATAAATTTTGTGTCATCATTTCAGGACTCTTGGATTCTCATAGATGTTATTCTTGGCCATTCCTCGACATACCTCGAGAATGTTTATGGATCTCACCGGAGGCCATTGGCTGATTATTCCATCCTTATCAGAACTTTTACAGTGACCTCGAGAGCATCTATGAACATGCTCACCGCTCTCGGCTCCCCCCTCTGCAGAATGTCTATGTCACTATGTGCTTGTTTGTGCGAGGTGTTTTTTTAATATTAAGAGTTTTTTTCCCTCAGGCAGGTAAAAAAAGTCTGATAGGAATTTTTTCGCCTCCAACTCCTACATGTGTCCATTTTACCACTTTTTTGTCTGTCCAAACTGGTCTCACTTGTAAATGAGTCTTTTAGGCTCAATGTGATTTATCTGTTTAAATAAAGGTTGAATGAAAAACTACAGGTTTAAGGCTCCGGTATACTCGTGCGTACGTGGGTCCGCGGAGGTCCGCACGTACCGGATTAGAGTCGAAGCGGATGCCCGCAGGGCATGTCCGTGCAAAGCTCGGTTTTTAAAACCGTGTATGCATACCCAGTGTCACACAATAAACTGCCCGGCAATGGACTGTTTTGTATGCGACACCAATGTATTAAAATTCCCCTTCGTCATCCCTGATCTGGTTTAATGGCCATTTCTTTTGTCTTTCTTTTTTTTTTTGCAAAGAGGCAAACAATCTCTTCCTCCTCCTCTGTTGATGCCATAACTAAAATGGTGAGAAATGAAGGAATTTGTCACGAGCGAATTCAGGTCCAGCATGGCTGCGGGAGGGTCTGGAGATTTCCTGGTGGGCTGGTCTGCTGTGTGGGCTGCAGGACCAGTTTTTTTGTTTTGTTTTGTTTTGTTTTTAGAACTTTTTATTAACAGTATATAAACACAAAACACCACTGCGGCTGGGGCTGCCAGCTCTCATTTCTTTTTTTTTTGTGACTGTCAATCAATCCAGTAGGCGTGTCAGCAAATGATCAATCGGCGACCTCAATTTGTCCCGAAGGTAAACATCCCTTGTCTGTGGAGCTGCTCTGCAGCTGCTCTGGGTGGACGCTCGAGCATGAAGTCTCAACCCTCAGCAGACAGTGCGCACAGTTTCCGTGCGGCTGATAGGACGTGCGAGTATAATGGAGCCTATACTTACTGCTCCCCTCAGGAAAGAGGTTAAGGAGCATTAAGTGTAGAAACACTAGGCTGAGGAACAGCTTCTACCCTGAGGCTGTTAGACTTGTGAATCTCTAATCAGTATAATCACTGTGAAAAATCACATCATGTTGCTGCTGATCTGTTTCATGTTGCTGTGTTCATGCATGCTCATCTGCTCACACAGACTCATGTTCATGCTGCTGTTCGATGTAATGTTGTTTTTATGCTATTAGTGCTTAGTGCATTATTTAGTTGATGTTTTTCTTAGTTCATATTGTTAGCTATTTATCTAGACTGGTGTAGTGAACTAAGCCTCCGGTCAAAACCTGACCCTGAAGACCTTCATGGGACAGGAACTGTTATTTCATTGATTTGAATCCAGAAATACAAATTAGCTCATCCAGAGACTTTCTAATTGTATCCTGAACTAATCAATTGAAAGAACACTCTCTTTTTATATTGTCATTACTATTTTTACAAATGTCTTGATAATCAAAAGTGTGTTTAGTTCAAACCATTTTAAATGTTGAAGTGAACTACTCATTTTAAATCAACTGTGAAACAGTAGTAATGATTTTTTAATCCTCATTCAAAGTAGAAATCAAGTTAATGTCTGTTACAAAGTAATTATGCATTTTGATCTTCTGTCTGAAATGAGAAGTAGTGATGTCGGTCGAAAGTCAGAAAGAAGTTATTAGAACGAAGTGGATTGTTTTTAAACCTAGCAGACGGTAAATAAGAAGCTACTGGCATCTGCTTCCTCCCACTTCGCCATAACATTTCTCTGTCTGTTCCTAAACATTTCTCTGTCTGTTCCTAAACATCTTCGCTGTTTTTCTGACTTGTAGTAACCTCTTACGTCACTAAAACCACACCCCTGTTGGTTCTTTCAACCAATCAGGACTTCCCAAAAGGGACCGGAAGCAGAACTCTTTAAAAGTTGACACTTCCTAGTTCCAGACGTGAACCGAAGTTCTGGAGAGAACAGAAGTTCCGTGGAGAAGGAAGACAGTGTGACTTTGCAAGGGTGAAGTCCACGGTGGTCATTTTCTGAAAGATGACACCTGTCTGGAGTGTTGATTCCGGTCATTACGCCAAAGACCTATTCAACATCTCAGGAGTTCAGCACGTTTGCTGAAATTCCACTTAACTTAATCCTATTTTTTGGGGAAGTTTATTTTGGAAGCTGGGCCAGTCAGCCTCGTGGTCCCAAGTTGATGAGAAGCGGATAAATCCCTGGAGATAAAACGACTCAGCCTTGCTGGACGCCAGGAAAAGACCTCTCTGAAACCCCACCAAGGTAAAGAGTCGACACTCGGGTACCATTTTATTTTATTAAGTAAAACGTGCCAAGTTTTATTAATCAGAGCCGATCAGAATAATCAAGTGTACAATGTTTTGATGTTAAATTTTGATTCTGTTAATAAATGACCACATTCATTTTGATGGGTCAAAGAAAATTAACGTCTCATGTCACTGATTAGACCATCTCCAACACAGTATCTCTGTCACATATCTGTCAAGTAGCTCGAAAAAGAGAGAACCCGTTATTAAATATTGATTGTAGTGGAGCTCCTAAGCTAACCTACCCTACATCACTACACTGGTCCTGGGGTTATTTGATCTGCTCAGAGATGGGATTATAATGAAATTATGACCTGGTTTTGACTGGGTTAAAATGGACCAGCTACTCTAAAAAGAGTCTCCCAGGGATTCAATATCCGTCAAGGAATAGAGTTTATTTTTGCTTGCTACATCACATAGAAAGGCTTTTTGAAGCAGTGTCTCATTTTTCCTTACACGTCAACCCACATAAGATCCGTTGAGATCACACTTAGTCACGCCCCCTCATACACATGACAGGTTGTGCTTCCCTTCTGCGAAGGAGGAGTCCAGGGCCTATAAATGAGTAATGACACGGGACATCTGCCCTTCCGGTTTGTGGTCACATCATAGACCAGACTGGCCATCGCTGTGACATGTAACCTTTTCCTGCCTTGATTTTAATACAATTGGTAAAACTGAATTCATGTTTCCTTGATTTATTGTTAGTGTGAGTTGCCGCTTCTGAGGGAGGTTCAAGCCGGGGGAGAGATAAATAGTAAAATGGTAAATGGACTGTAGTTATATAGTGCCTTTCTATCTTATTTCAAGATACTCAAAGTGCTTTACACTACAATCTGTGTCCTCATTTTCCCATTCATACAGCACTCTACTAGATTTCTACAAAGCTAATTGAACAAATCATTCTAATGAGACTAATCAGTGCTTTAGATTGCATTCATACACTGATGGGACACACATCAGAGGCTATGAGGGGTTCAGTGTCTTGCCCAGGGACACTTTGGCATGTGACTGCTGGTGGATTCGAACACCCAGCTCTCGCATTGGAGGACGACTGCTCTAACCACTCAGCCACAGCCACCCCCGATGTGGGCTGGAGGCAGGTTTTCCGGGTCTGGTGACCCGCAGCCAGCTCTCGTTCAAAACAATATCTTAGATCTTATTTCTGTTTTTCTTTTACATTTTATTGTTGGATGTAACTGGGACCCTGTATACATAATCTCATTCCACCACATGTACCACATGAGATGCGAATGACAACTAAATCTCTCTGAATCTTTGAATCTTCCTTATGGTTCCTAGAATTTCCAAAAGCAGAATGGGAGGCAGAGCTTTCATTTATCAGGCTCCTCTCTTTTGGAACTAACTTCCAGTTTCTTTATGTGAGGCTGACACATTTTTCAGTTTTAAGACTGGGCTTAAGACTTTCCTTTTTGATAAATCCTAGGGTTGGGTTGGGTTGTGTTTCTTGAGCTATCCCTTAGTTATGCTGCTATAGGCTTAGGCTGCTGGAGGACAAACTGACCACATTTCTTCATTCTGCAGTTGTCTTTACCTACTCTGCTCAACTTGTTTTGTATTTGTAATTTTTCTGCCCTTGATGTGTTTTGTCTTTCTTCCAAGAGGGGGTACACCTGTGCCTACACCTAGACCTGCCATTCTGTGTTAATTTGTTTCCTCTTCTTCTGGGGTGGTGGTGGTGGTGTGTGTGGGGGGGTGGGGGGGATGTTTACAGTGTCCTGCCAGTGGACACTTCAGCATGTTGCAGGAGCTGTGGATTGAAGCCTCAATTCTCCAATTATAGGACCAACTCCTTGGACTTACAGTAGCTGCAGCATGTAGCCATGCTGTTTGCTCACCTTGTTCCCAGAGCAGGTGCCGCAGAGGCAGCCAAAGAGCCCGTTCACCATCTGGATGGCACAGAAGATGAGCTCCAGGCAGGCAGCCACCATCAGTGTGGAGAACAGCCCCAAGTTGAATTCAACCACATTTGGTGGACTTTTACACCAGCTCCACATGCTTTTGTCATTCAGGTAGTTCCCTGAGCTACAAACGATGATCAAAAAGTAGCATTACTTATCAAAAACATGACAATTGGGAAAACAAGACATTTCAATGTATGATTTGAATCATAAACTGAGTTTATCACAGCTTAAAATATAAACACACACCTGTTAGCGAAGGGCCTTCCCCACTCTGGGATGGCGCTGTCTACATTGCTCCAGTAGCACACTGGCCCGTTAGCCAGACCAAGAGAGGAGGCACTCAGACTGTAAATAGCCCCCAGCACACCAGCTGCTGCAAACCCAATGGACAGGAACATCTGCGGGGAGCAAAGAGAAAGTTTAGCTTCCTGAAGCAAGGGTCCAAAATGTGTCATGACATGACACCTACAAAACAATAAAGAGTCATACTCCTAAAACCCACTTAGCTATACCGCAAGAGTAAAGATCTGGTCAACTGTTCCAAAACCAGAACAAAAGCAACAGGTTAGATGTCCTCCAGAATAGCACAGAGACAGCAGAATAGTCTTTGACTTGGTCAGTTCTGTTATCACAGACAGCATCAAGTGTCTTCAACTCATGGTACTATGTGGAAACAAAAGAGGCTGACGTCTTTTGTTTTTTGTTCACCTTTGACCCTTTGAGGGACAGCCATCAGAAAATATGTGGGAGGCAGCTGGAGAAGAAACTGATTCCTTTATATTAGGTTGTTTTCACACCTGATAGTCCGGTAGACTCGGTTCGGTTGGGGACCACTATTCATAACATTTTTTTTTACATTTGAGCTGTTGCGTTTGCATTCACACTGCACTGTGTAGTCGAGCCAACCCATTGAACCAACCTGTTCCCCCACTCGCCTGTGGTGGCGCTGCACCAAGAACTACTGAAAGAAACTATACAAAAACCTCTGAAGAAGACACTTCTTCTTCTTCTTCTTCTGGAAATAAAAACAAAAATGGAGTGGCATCAAGATTTAGCAGTTTTAGGAGTTATATTTTGTCATTTTTCAAAAATGGACTCAGCATGAGCGGAAGATGAGGCAGAAGACCATGGAGAATATTCCAACATTTTTCAGTCAAGTCATCTGAACAGTTTCTTTTTTTGTGCTGAAACGTTTTGCCTTTGATCCGGAAGGCTTCATCAGTCTGGTTGAAAACAACAATGTCCATGCGCAATAATCCAGGTATACAATCCAACATTTTTCAGTCAAGTCATCTGGGTAGTTTATTTTTTTTGTGCTGAAACGTTTCGCCTTCGATCCGGAAGGCGAAATGTTTTAGCACAAAAAAATAAACTATCCAGATGACCTGAAACGTTTCGCCTTCGTTCCGGAAGGCTTCTGGATCGAAGGCCAAACGTTTCAGCACTAAAAAAGAAACTATCCAGATGACCTGATTGAAAAATGTTGGCTTGTATACCTGGATTATTAAGCATGGACATTATTGTTTTCAACCAGTTTGACAGGACTGTCAACAAGGAAGAGGGCCAGCAATGGAGGAGGGGGCGTACCAAAGAGACCATTTTATCACAAACAAAACTGGTTTGTTCCACTTTGGAGTAAGATGTTGGGGGAAGAATCAGTTTTGTTGTGTGTTTCCTTGACTGATGAAGCCTTCTGGATTGAAGGCGAAATGTTTCAGCACAAAAAAAGAAACTGTCCAGATAACCTGACTAAAAAATGTTGGATTGTATACCTGGATTATTGAGCATGAACTTTGTTGTCATGGAGAATATAGATTTTCACACATGACAGCTGACGGCTCCATATGAGGTAAGAGAAATGCGTGTTTGTTTGCCCTGCGCTGTACTCCACTTCTTGCTTGTAGAGCGGGGCCTGGTCTGATTGCATTCACACTGTCCTTGAAACGTGCTGGAGTTTTCTTCTACCGGACCGAGACCTAGGTTTTAGCCCAGGCCAGAGTTCGCCTTTTTGTTCCGTGACAGAGTTCGATGGCCCGTTCACACCTCCCCAAATGAACCGGACTTCCTAGGAAAACGAGCTAGTGTTTGATTAAAGCGGACTAAACAGGCTGGTGTGAATGCACCCTTATTCTATTTTTCTTCCTATTTCCAAGCCAAAAATTTAACATGTTGAGTGTTGCAGTGGCTGAAAATAACAGCTAACAGTTACAAGCTAACAGCTTTACAGTTAGCAAAAACAAGAAATAATTTTTAGAATCTGCATTATTACAATGATTATACAAACACACACAAACACACACACACACACACACACACACACACACACACACA